GAACATTAAAACATGTAGAAAAAGTACGAAAAGATTGTCGCCGCTGTGGTAATCGAACCCACGTCTTCGGCATTCGCGGCCTGACGCTCTAGCCAGAGAGCTAAACGGCTTATAAGCCACAGCGACGAAAATCTTAACGCTTTCTTTCTACATTGTTATTTAGCATTTGAAGCAATGCTTGGCGCATCTATTGTTATATCCTTTCCAGCATACAAACAATTTCGAATATCGTTTTACAAGGATAATTCGAACGGGAGATGTCGCCATTACTTTTTATAAATTTTAAAGTGTTTTATAGTGCTAATCTCTGCACTTAAGATTGAACATTAAACATGTAGAAAAAGTACGAAAATATTGTCGCCGCTGTGGGAATCGAACCCACGTCTTCGGCATTCGCGGCCTGACGCTCTAGCCACTGAGTTAAACGGCTGATAGCCACAGCGGCGAAAATCTTAACGCCTTCTTTCTACATTATTATCGTTGTAAAACGATATTCGAAATTGTTTGTATGCTGGAAAGGATATAACAATAGATGCGCCAAGCATTGCTTCAAATGCTAAATAACAATGTAGAAAGAAGGCGTTAAGATTTTCGTCGCTGTGGCTTATCAGCCATTTAGCTCAGTGGCTAGAGCGCCAGGCCGCGAATGCCGAAGACTTGGGTTCGATTCCCACAGCGGCAACAATCTTTTAAGTAAATCTTATAGTTATAGAACGAACTTATTTTAGAACAATTATTAATAACTTTTCATCCAGTACTTCTAGTGTCTAATCATTTGTCATAATCACAACTAATAAATAACGTGTTGTGTCCAGTAGTTAAGGTAGGCCAAGTATTTATTCATTAAACTAACAGATGGCGCTAGGATCCTTCAATTATTTGAACATAAAAAGGATTACATGACAATTTCGACAATCTTGTCTCGTCTGGATCCGAAAGTCCCGGGACTCCAGACAGCTAAAGTTACGAAAAGTCCCGGAACTTCGAGATACGAGACGTGTCGGAAGCCAAGTCCTAACACAGACCAAAATATTAAATACGGAACGATTATCGCCATTCAAGCTAATTAATAAGTGGATAAACTAAATGAAGCTTGACGAAAGATTGATAAAAGCTTGCACGTAATTAATATATTTACATTATAATTTAACAGCAGGCGGAAGTTTTACGGCGGTAGTGCCACGCAGCAGCCTCGGCTGTTGCACGAATGGGCAGGCTCGTCCGGGTAAGTACCACGACCTCACAGACGACGGGCGTAAAGTGGAAGTATAATACTTTCGCGTTTCGTCTGGTTAGTGAGGTGGCCGGAGCCTGATTTCAAAAAGGTTGTCGACGCATCGGTAACCCTCGGGTGTAGCAGATGTCCATGGGCGGCGGTATATCCCATCAGGTGAACCGTCTGCTCGCTTGGCAACTTTTCACATAAAAAAAAGTATCAGGACCTCATAGAAGACCAGCGTAAAGTGGAAGTGTTGCACTTCTGCGTTTCGTCTGATGAGTGAGGTAGCCGGGGCCCACTTTATTCAAAGGCGGCAACGCATTTGCAACCATACGGGTGTTGCAAATGTCCATGGGCGGCGGTTATGACTTAACATCAGGTGAAACGCCTGCTCGCTATTTATTTACGCCTCATTGTTTCACTTTAAGCTAAGGGCTACAATAGGCGGACGTAAAGCTCAGTGGCTTTCTCTACTAGTCATCCCCTGTCATGGTGGTGCGTGGATTGTAACCAAAAAATAAAACTATAATTAATTACATATCAAAAAAGTCTACGGCGATTGCTAAAATATTTTTTTAAATGCTATATACAAAAAATTTTAATATCATAATGAATTCTGGCCTATTTAAGAAAAAAATAAATTAGGAAAATTGTTTGTCACATTTTGGTATATTTCTTATGATAAGTTAAATGGTTAATTGTATTGATTGAGAAATACAACCATCATTTGTGAATATAAATTAAAATTTAAACTAACTATCACGGTTCATGGGATGCCTGGTGACAGACGGACAGACAGCGGAGTCTTAGTAATGGGGTCCCATTTTACCCTTTGGGTACGGAACCCAAAACATTAAGAATCGAACAGACAGGAGTTTAGTTTTAAAGGGCAGGGCATTTTTAAGACGGTAGAGAGAACGTAAGGTGGCAAAAACTTTCCGGTTAGCTTCGGCAACCTGTTTCCAAACTTAACGATTGGTTCAAACGAAAGGTATGATTTTTTACTGAGTCAGAGAAGGGAATTAACGCTCCATAATGAGCTGGGACCAGGCTAGCATAATCAATCGATCGCATTGCATTTTGATGCCTTAACAGTAATCTCAAATATGCGCGACCAATTTCTGATATAGTTTAAGATTGTCATTAAATGTCATGTTCCGGCTGTTGTCGAGATCGTTGATGTATATAGAAGAAAAGAAAGAAAGAAAATCACTTAAATAATACATATTAAAACAAAAGATACAGAAAAATTTATATACAGCGTGTCGTTACAATCGCGACAATACGGGTATGAACACACCCAATGTGAACACACACAATATGAACATACACAATGTGAACACACACAATATAACACACACAATATGAACACACATATAGAGGATAACTCTTTAAAGATTTTTTTGTCTCTATAGACGGTTACATGAACGAATAGTTCACAACTGAGTGATAGATTACCTCAGTTCATAAGTAAAGAAAATAAAAATATATGCGTAATTATACCGCCTTGCTCCCGCCATCCGCCGAGGTAGAACAATACTGTACCAAAGTGTCCTGACTTTTGATGATCGCAAAGATTAGAGGAGAAACTGTCCAAAGCTGTAGTCGGAAATCTAATTAAGCTTCCTAGTTTCTCTGAGGATGTATACAGGTTGTATTATAATTATGCTTTAACTAGCTGCTGCCCGCGACTACGTCTGCGTAGAATAAGCTGAAGGCGTAACATTCAGACAGAAAGACAGATATACATAAAATATGTATAAATTATAGCCTATGTGTTATTCCGATGTATAAGCTATATTATTGTAAAGTTTCATTAAAATCCATTCAGTAGTATTAGCGTGAAAGAGTAACAAACATCCATCAATACATACAAACTTTCGCGTTTATAATATTAGTAAGGACTCTTTTTTATTGAGTCGTATTGTTTTTGTTTTGATAGGTATGATGATGTATATATTTTATACATTTTTGAATGCGGCACGACCACGCAACAGCCATCGCTGTTGCACGAATGGGTAGGTACGTCCGAAGTACCACGACCTCGAAGTAGACCGGCGCGAAGTGAAACTGTTATACTTCTGCATTTCGTCTGGCGAGTGAGGTAACTGGTGCCGACTTCGTTAAAAGGTGACAACGCATTTGCAACCCAGCGCAATTGCACATGCGCGGCGGTTTTCACTTAACATCACGCGAACCGCCAGCTCGCTTGCTACTTTCTCACATAAAAAAAATAATTAATGTGGTAACTGAATGTTGGTTTTATTATTTTAAATTTTATATCTGTGCATGTTTATCAAGTTCTCCGGATAGCTCACGTTGACTTTTATGTTTTTTTTTATTGTTTTTTATGTTTTTGGCGTTAATTCCGGTCCTGCACAACTATTTCTCTTGTTTTTATCGCAAACATTTAAGCAAAGTCTACTAAACTATATGTGACATTATGAAAATATGAAAAAAATTTTTTATGACGAATTGAAGTAAAAATAAAGTTTACAATGTTGAACTATCGAATAAAACTTTATATCCTTTCGATGTGATTTTAGTAAATGAACTGTTGAAAGACTATATCAGGCATCATGATGTAATCCAATTAAATATCGAGGTCTTTAATTTAGCTTAGAAAACGCAGGCTCGAATCCACGAAAATGTTTTCTTTTATGTAAAGTAACAGCCTATATATTTTCCCACTGCTGGTCAAAAGCCACCTCTGCAAAGAGGGTGTCAGGGCATAGTCCACGACGACCCCACTGCGGAAAAGCTGTAAAGTGAGCAAACGATTCACCTGATGTTAAGTGATTACCGCTGAAGTGCTGTAGATATGTTGCTGACCTTTTGAAAAGTGGGGCCGGCTACCACGTGTTTTATTACCATTCACGCCGGTCTTCTGTGAGGTACTTTTTTAATGTGAAAAAGTGGCGAACGAGCTGGCGATTTACCTGATGTTAGTTATAACCGCCGCCCATAGATATTTGCAACACCCGTAGTGTTTCAAATGCGTTGCCACCTTTAAATAAAGTGGGCCCCAGCTACCTCGCTCATACGAAACGCAGAAGTATAACACTTCTAATTTAGGCTGGTCTATTGTGGGGTCGTGGTAACTACCCGGATGGAGCCGCCCATTTGTGCAACAGGAACACTGTTACGTGGCCCTACCACAGTTAAAGTCAAAAGCCTTTAATAAACTTCAATCGGATGCCCTGCACAGTCTACGTCGAAGATGAGTGTCTGCCTTAATTAATGCACTTGCAAAGCCCAACCTATCCCCCAGGATCCGTCCGTGTTTCAAGGTATAGAAAGTAAAACAAAAATTTTGTTCTCAATATATAAGTAATTTGAAAAACTAAAAATCTCGACTGCGTTTCTGTGTAATTTTTTATTTTGATATACCCAGTTTCACTCTCATAAAAAATACGAATCTAACGTCACCTCTCAAGCTAAAATCCATCAAGTCGTCCAGGCTGCAGAGCGTGCCAAACAACTCGAAAAACATAACCCTCCTTCTGGCGTAGTCGGGTAAAAACTCAAAATAATTTCGTCATCCAATATCGTTTCCAATATTACGAATAAACATAACTATACCACACTACTAGTTATAATATTTTTCACTTCCTTTATCTAAAGAATGCTAGAAAACTATTTAGATTTGCAACAATAGTATACATACGAGTATTATGTTAAGTTCACGTTATGGTTTTGTTATATATTTTTGTGCATATAACTATGACGGTAAATGTCGAGCAAGCAATCTTTATAAAATAAGGAGAAACAAAAGATATTATTGAGGAAACCAGTCCACTTCCACCAGGCTGTCTGATGGAGAGAGGTTCTGACGGTCGTCGGCTGTTGAGAACTGGGAAGGTGAACCGCCTTGCGACGCGATCACGTGGGAAAATCGCCTTTTTCTGTATTTCATGAAGGTCAGTCTGCAAGTGATGGTCGCGAACAATGCGGGGTACTTCAGCCGTAGGCAATTGGACTGTGGGTGCGTTGCAAACAGCCGACCTTTGTATTCGAGAGCATAATGTTATAAGAAAATTGTTTATTGGAACGAATTTTTAGGAGGACCCCCAGAAATTAACGATTTCTTCAAGGGTGATCAACGTTGAAGTTAACTAATCAGTTGTCAAATGGCTTGTTAAATGTCATCAGAGTATTTTTTTTGTTGAAATTGTTGTTTTTTTTCAAATATATTCAAAAAGACAAGGTTTAACCATGCTTTTGGCAACTCAAATGAATGTCTTTCAGAAACCGGGCGTAAGTCTCCGATTGTGTTAGGGCGACTGTATAGTGATTGTATTGGTATGTTGGTAGGTGGATTGGCAGCTGTGAAAAGCGAATTGTTCCTTGAGTAAATGTACTAAGGTGCTAATAATAATAATAATATATTTATTTTATATGTGCAATATATATCTATATTTCTATTTTTATTTATAAACCCAACCAGACGAGAAAACAAATCAATATCCCCCCATAATAATATGACCATACCACATGACGAGAACCTCGTGAAAGCCGAAACAGATAAGAAGACGAAGTATCTGTAGTGATACGGTACGGAGCGCGGACTTGATAGAAGACAGGCGTGAAGTGGAAGAACTATATTTTCGATTCTTGGGTGGTACTATCATCTATTACCGGGGCTTTACGGTATGTCAGGTGCCCAATTTTTCCACGCACGTGCCAATTGATGTACTGCTACGACCATTGCTGTGTTCGCCATCGCTTTTTTAAAAACTGTTTTTTGTTTTTTCAGAAGCCTCACCTGACGGCAAGTGTCACCTCCGTTCATGAACATCTGCAATACCTGAGGGCTGGCGAATGCGTTGCCGGGTTTTTAAAACTGTATACGTTTAAATCGGAAAACGAAATGTAAGAAGTCCCCGCTCGATTTTAAAATACAATATAGTGTTGCTTACTATGATTTTTTAACTGTGGGAGAACCACGTAGCGCTGCTGTAGCTCTAGTGCCGGCAACGACGGAAAGTACCGCTGAGTCACAGAAGTGAAGAAAGTGTTGTACTCTAGCGTATCATCTCCTTCACTAAGGATCAAGGCGCTAATCACTTAACAAAACCGGCCAAGTGCGAGTCAGTCTCGCACACGAAGGGTTCCGTACCAATATCAATATAAATAGCAAAAATCATGTCTCTTTTATGGGAGCCCCACTTAAAAATAAAATTCTATTTTTTATTATTTGCTTTTATAGCGGCAACAGAAATACATCGTATGTGAAAATTGCAACTGTCTAACTATCACGGTTCATGAGATACAGTCTGGTGACAGACGGACAGACAAAGTAGTCTTAGTAATGTGTAGTAGTGTAGTAATTAGTGCGAGTCACCTTATCAGGGTTCCGTACCCAAAGGGTACGGAACCCTGATAAGGTGACTCGCCGCCTCGTTTAACGACTTCACACATTAAAAAAAATTTGCCGAAGCATTAAGCATCGCGACACAGCAGGCGAAGGGTGAGTTGCATTTGTAATTGGATCACCTCCGGGCTATTTCGTTTACCACCTACGAACAAAATCCTCTAATGAGTGTTATCGCGAAGATAACGGGAAAAAAAAATCGGGTGTCAATTACTGCCCGTTCTCACGTTCGTCAGCGAAATTTTGGAGGGAAACGTCCACGCGTTCCATTTTTAATGCGTTCATTTTATGCGGCCTGTTAAGATTGTTTTTCTTTTTTTAATTTATTTATTTATTAAGTAAACAATACAACATAAAAAATTTATTCACCAATTTGTGAAAACAATTTATCGGCGACACAATGCACTCTTACATAATTGTCACTTAAATAACAAAACAAAATTAGCATACTGGAGTTACAACTGGAGTTAAGAAAGCAAACAAAAAAAATAAAAAAATAAAAGAAAAACTGAAACAATCTAAGTAATGCTACTATTATAATAATCTATACAAAAGGCCTTTAACTTTCTTTTGAAGATATTCTTGCTTATACAATAATTTTTAGAAAACGTCTTGAATTTAAACTCGAGACTTTTTTTCTTTTATTATTTTTTTAATTACACGCCGAGGGAGAACGTTTCCGCTGTTAATTGATTAATTTAAAACGGTGCAATCGGCGGCATGTGTGAATAATGATAAAAAGGTCGCCGCTTGCATCTTAAAGTAAAAGTAAAGTAACAGCCTATACATGTCCCACTGCTGGGCAAAGGCCTCCTCTATACAGAGGGTATCAGGGCATAGTCCACCACGCGGCCCCACTGCGGATTGGCGGTCAAATTCTTGCGGCCGCTTGCATCTTGCGCACAGATTAAAAGATGAAATTGGCGCGGTTATACCTATGTGCGAATTATAAATGTAAGATTGTATGAAATATAAGTACCTACGTATTGCGGCGCTTTACGACTTATGCACAGGTTATAAAAAAAATGGCGGTGGTCTGTGTTGTATCGAATGTTGTTTGAAATTAAATTAACAAAAAACAATACCTGATTTCGAGATAGACAAATATTAAGACATATTTTTACGGTTTTATTTACGTGTCAATTTTATTTGAAAGAACATTTGGCTGTTGGCAATTTATGGAAATTGGAAAGGTTAAAATACTAACATTAGATAGAATAGGAATTTTTGAGAGAACTAGTCATTTTAAATAACTAAAATGTAATTTAATTTTATTAAAAATTAATCATTTAGAATAGGAATAATTTAAATTTTAAATGATTAAAGATGAAAAACTCTAACGTCGAGCTTTTCAATGTTTCGACATTTTCCTACATTTAATTTTGCGTGCTTTAGAAAATTCCGTCACCAGGAAGCTTTTTGTAATTATGATGTTTTTTGTATGAAGTTTTTTCGTAATTATTAAATTTGCAGGCGGTTTCTCTGAATTATGAATTATTTTTTTACGAATAATTAAGGTACTAATTAATAATTTAATTTTTTACGAATAAAATCCCCGGTTATCTCACGCGACAGTACGACAACTCCACTTCAGGCTGGTCTTCTGTGTGGCCACGGTATTCCCCCTAGCCTGCCCATTCTTGCAACAGTCAACACTATTGCGTAGCCTTCCACGGTTACGATGTTGTGCCGTGAAAAAGCATTAAGGAATTGTTTCGTTAGTTTTCCTCTTTTTCTTACTTTTTTTAATGTGAGAATGTGGCAAACGATCTGGCGGTTCACCTGATGTTAAGTGATTAACGTCGCCCATGGACATTTGCAACACTCGTATGGTTGCAAATGCGTTGCCACCTTTAAATAAAGTGGGCCCCGGCTACCTCACTCACCAGACGAAACGCAGACGCAGAAGTGTAACACTTCTACTTTACGTCGGCCTTCTGTGAGGTCGTGGTACCTACCCGGACGGACCTGCCCATTCGTGCAACAGTGTTGCGTGGACATGGCATCCTTGGACTGTTCCATTCTGTCCTCTTTGTTACATTATCTTTGACATCGATTAATGAGTGAGATAAATGCAATGAGTTTCCTAGTCGACTGCGATACCTTAAACTTCTTAGTTGTTGATGCAACTTTAATGAAACTGCCTGGAGTCTACATTGACTTTAATCAAGCTTGGGTGTTTCTCCACTAACAATCTGACCTAATACAAGATTCTGAGCCGTGATAGCTCAGTGTCTGGGCGCTTGCCATTAATTATTCAATATACTCGAGCAACCCGAGTTGGATCCCCGGTGCCGGCACCAATGAAGTTTTTAACTTTAAGTGCTGACTTATCACGTGCTCCGCGGTGAAGGAAAACATCGTGAGGAAACCTGCATATTTTCGTAATAATAACAAAAAAATATATATTTCGAAGATATGTGAAGTCCGTCAATCCGCAGTGGGGCCGCTTGGTGGACTATGCCCTGATACCCTCTCTATAGAGGAGGCTTTTGCCCAGCAGTGGGACATGTATAGGCTGTTACTTTACTTAACTTTTTACTCAATTCTTGTTTTCATTGCAAAGGTCTTAAAAAGCGTACGGGAAAATTCCACGCGTAGTTACTTTTACAACCGCGCATTTGCAGCATTCTCGGCTTCCGTCTTACTCTGACCTTAATGATGCCGACATGATCAGGAAGAATTTAAAAAGAATTTCGTATCAGATTTATAAACCATATATCCGGCTTGTTTTCTTCTTGTTCGCTTGCCGAGATGATCATGACTGATTTTAAAAATGATATATCGTATCAGGTTTACCAACTATTTATCCGACTTGCGTTATACTTTTCAATCTTTTCAGATTTCACTATTCCCGTTAAGGCGAAAGTTTGTATATATGGATGTTTGTTACTCTTTCACGCAAATACTACTGAATGGATTTTAATGAAACCTTACAATAATATAGCTTACACATCAGAATAAGACATAGGCTATAATTTATATACATATTTTATGTATATCTGTCTTTGTGTATGAATGTTACGCTTTCAGACTATTTTGCGCAGACGTAGTCGCGGGCAGCAGCTAGTAAAATTATATTTTGAAAATATGTGAAGTCATAGAAGCCATATCGTGTCAACCTACTTCTCCTTATTTTCTCAGTCTCTGTGCCACTTTCAAGTTCAAAATAAATACTATTATTAGCATAATTTGAGTTTATTCTAACATCGTAATGCAAGCTGAATCGTTAGGAATTCAACTTTATATTTAAAACTAAATAATGAAATAGGATTGCGTTTGCGATTTTTAGTTGTACGATAGCTTATATTGCTTTCGTAGTTAAGAAAGAGTCTGAATGTGTCCCGGGGAATCCGGAAGAGTGGTGGCCCTAGCGACCAGCTGTGAGATTTGCCTAATGAAGCCAAACTATTAAGTTTTCCACATTTCGTTGTTGTCATTATCTTACTTTGGCCCCTTATCGGCACTCATGGACTGTTTCTCAAGTTCGATCAACGTGGACGCAATACATTAAGTATCAACGTCCCAAGCACTTCAAGACGTATCATAATCTAAACGACGCATAGATACTCGAAGCAATGTCCTATACAAGAATTCCGACATTTCTCATCGTCGATTTAAATATATGCATATATTATTGTATTGATTGATTTTAAAAAGCATCAAGAAATAAACATTGATCGGTTTCCAATAACGTTCGGCTCACGAACGTATAGAGACGGCAGTTTTCATTTACACTAGAACCGTCATCATTCTGTGTAAATGAAAAATGTGCTGACCGCAACACGTGAATCGTGTTGTAAGCGTTGTTTCACGGTGGTGGGGCCACGCAGCAGCCTCGGCTGTTGCACGAATGGGCAGGCCCGTCCGGGTGAGTACCACGACCTCACAGAAGACCGGCGTAAAGTGGAAGTATGACAAATACTTTCGCGTTTCGTCTGGTTAGTGAGGTGGCCGGAGCCCAAGTTTCAAGAGGTTGTCAACGCATCTGTAACCCTCGGGTGTGGCAGATGTCCATGGGCGGGGGTATTTACTTAATATCAGGTGAACCGTCTGCTCGTTTGACAACTTTTCGTAAATAGATACATGTGTGTGTGTATGTGTGTGGCGCGCGCGTGCGCGTGCGTGTGCGTGTGCGTGTGCATGTGCGTGTTCGTGTGCGTGTGCGTGTATAACCTATGAGTGCTGCAACGTCCATTTGCGGCGGTTATAACTTACCATCAGATGAACCACCAGGCCGCTTGCCACCTGCTCACATAAAAAAAAAACAATTCATTCAATATCACTGAGGACGTCAAAACCAAAAAGAGGTTGGAGGAGTACCTTATAAAATATATATATTTCACAGTACTCGGTTTTAATAATTGTATCTCTCGTAACTCTCTCAAACACATAAAAACATAATTATTATATTACTCTATAAA